TCATGTTTCTCATGTTTGTCTGAATTACATTAATTGGAAATAAACTAGGATTATTTTTTTCTCTTGATGCCAATTTTGATGTTACTTTGTTAATGTTGTTTATAACAATAAATGATAACTTTTTCTTTCCCTTATAATTTAGGTGCAGTCCGTGACGTGTAAAATGACGTCATTGTAGTTCGTCCAGGTCAATAAGATGCACTTTGTTTGTTCTTATGACTATTTCCCTAATGTAACTGTTTAACAAGTTGATATCATCATGACGTGGATCATTTGAGCTAATGTCATAGCGATTTGGGATTGTGGTAATATATACAGATGATTTATCCTCACTTAGGTGTGTCAGATACTTTTCCAAATTGCTGTAAATGTTTGAGGTTGTTTTTTGAATTACATCATTAGTCCCAGCAATTATTAATAGTGACTTATGTCGAGATCTGTTAGCTTGGCTATAAATCTTCTCAGTTGTGGCGCCGGACATGACTTGACCACATACTGTAACTTTACTTCTGCTACAATTTTTTATCATTTCTGGTATTTCTTTTCCATGGCTGTCAGCATACAATTCTATTTCAAATGAGTGTCTAAATGATTGCTTATTTTCATGGTTCCAATATTCTTTCTTTTGTCTTCTTCTGAAACTAGTGTGTGACTTTTTTGGGCTTTGAAGAACAGTGCCTTTGTCTGAATCTACACTTTCATTTATTTCCAGTGTGTCATACTTATTGTTCATAGTGAAGTTTGCCGGACTTATAGTCTTGGGGTGTTGGTTTATTTTGTATACTTTTTTTGGTTTCTCCCAATTTTCAATTTTATTTTTATAACTAACTTCATTTAGATTGCTGTTGTTTGTAGAAACTGTGTGTAATGAAATATCTCCAGTAGAAGTGGTTGTACAGGAAGATGTTGGATTAATCATTGGAGTGGATGAAATGGGCGCTTTGAACATCATATCGGCTACGGTGTTGGGGCTTAGTGCATTCTTATTGCAATTGTGGAGAAATAATGCTAGTTGCGCTCGCTTAGTTAATACGTCACTCTCCCTAACCTCCGGCCAGAAGTTTTTAGGGTTACTCTTGAGTTCTTCAATTCTATCTTGAGCTATTCGCTGGATGAGTATGTCAGTGAAGATCAAGGCATATATTCCACAATCCACATTGTTACTTTGTTGTGGGACAGTAGCTTTGTTCAAGGTTGAGTGTTCATTTAAACTTAAGTGTCGTGAAATCTTTTTGATGACCTGCTCCGCATGATGTAAGTTATACTCCCCAACTGAATCAAAGTAGAACCAGTTTTTATTCGTTGTTTGAAGTAATAAAAGGCTCCAATGTGAACCTCCATTTTTTTCATCGGCAACTGAGTCATTAATAGGAAAAAATATGTAAGATTTATTTTTCATATGCAGAGGTTCAATTAATATGTCAATTTCATCTAAGCATTTGACTGCCTGTGTTAATATAGAATTCATCAATAATATTTCTTTTCCAATAACTTTGTCTGAAAGTAACTCATAATATGATCTAATAGTTTCATCATTTATAAATTGTGGTTCCATTACAGACAGACAGGTTGTATGTAGGCCTATACTTGCAGCATTTTCATTTTTTTTTTTTAGAATTTCATTTTGAGCAGTTCCTGAGTCACTTGTTTGCAGGTCTGTACAATTGATGACAGTGTCTGGTGTTTTATGTGTAGGCTTAGGTTTAACTGATGGAGTTTTTTGCTTTGGTGTACTTGAACAACCTTTTCTCAGTTTTTGGGCTTTTTCAATTTCATCTAAAGCTTGCTTAAACCTAGGGTTATTTTCCTGTGAGCTACTAAGCTGAATTTTGCTTCCTTTATATTGAGAAATACTGTTTTGTTTAACTACTCCTGTTTCATTTGTCCCAAAGAAAATTACGTGAAAGTGTTTAATATTATTCTTTACTTCTATTTCATCTATGATAGCTGGCCAAGCAGAATAACCACGGACTTTGGCAAGGATAAGATCACTCTTTTTAAAATCATTGTTCTTGTTGATCATCTTGAAATATGTAATGTACTAAGTAGTAAGGTTTAAGGTACCTACTTCAGTTGCAGTTTAATTTTAAATAGGACATGCATTGTTTAAAATTGTAAAATAAAAGGTAAAACTTGAGATAAAAAAAGTAAATAGTAAATAGTGAGCTTAGTTGTGTTTCAATCCTGAAATGTTTATAAACATTTACAATAATTTAGGACACAAAGGCTTGAATGAATTGTGAAAACCAAGTTATCTGTTAAACAATTAATTATCAACAGTCCAGGAATAAAGTAGATACAGGCTATCTGTGTAGAGCAGCAGAGAGTCAAAGGTCAGGACTGGCTCTTATCTGGTAGACAGATAAGGATCCTGATCAGTCTGGTACCAACAATTCTTCTAAAAGTTGAATAGGTTTATATTTTCTTCATACAAATTAACTCACTAAATAAATACCTTCTTTCATTAGAAAAATAAAAACTGCACACTTTAGAACAAAATTTTTGTATTAAAAACCACTTAAAACACTAGAATTTCACCAAAAATCGGGAGCAAACAATCCTTCAACTTATCACATCTGGGACTCTTATACTTTTTCTACACAGCTGAAGTCTTGAAGAATAACCTACATAATTCTATAAGCAGATTCGGCCTTGGTAGGTGCGGGGACCAGTGCAGACATTCCAAGCGGGACCCTTTACCATAAAAAAAGTAGTAGCTGAACAATACTACCTAACACGAATATCAATTTAAAATATTAGTATTTGTACTCTTTTAGTGTAAAATTCACAGACTTTTTATAGTTTTTAGCGAATTTCCCAGTACTCATGGTAAGACCTGGACCTGGGGCCGATTTACTTTTTCATTTTGAGGTCCCCAGAGGCCAAAAACACCATCCGTTCAAATTCATATATATATATATATATATATATATTTATATATTTATATTATATTTATATATATTTTATTTATAAATTTATATATATTTATATATCACATTTATAATATTAGTAAGATATATATGTGTCCGATAGCACGATAACTCGAACAAAATTCATCCGATTTTGATGAAATTTGGTATAAACGTGTAAACCTACGTTTATTCAAACGAGTTCGCGGACCAGCAGGATCGGACCATGGGAACGGGGGTTTATGGGGGGTTTTATGGGGCAAAAATGAGTTTTTCCCATTTTTGACCCTAAAAACAAAAAATTTTGGAATTTCTTCCCCAACCATTATGTAGAGCTTAAAAACAGAAATAATTTAGTATATTGAAGCATTGTTGTATGCCTAGTGGTTACGGAGAAAATTCAAAAAAAGTGTAAATTTAAAATTCCTATGTTATTCTTATGGATAAAATGAAAACTATTGTAGTTTACTTGTTTATGGATATATGTTGATACAAATTGGCAAATTTATTTATTTCATCCTATACTATTGGCGGTTGGTCAAAAGACACTTTTTACCTTACCCGTAGCAGCAAACCTAAGCACTCGTTAAATCTAATGTTATTTAAATTGGGGATAAATATGTCTAATTTGAGGAAATATTTGAGTAAAAATGTAATCAGACAAGTTGAAATTCGCTTAGTCTGCAGGTTTGCTGCGGCGGGGGTATTTAGTATTTAGCACCCCCTGAGATGTTGGGCCCTGTGCGACTGCATCTTTCGCACATGCCTAAGGCTAGCTAATGTTGTAAAATGTGTTGTTGAACTGAGGAGTTATTTATTAAAAAAATAACTTAAAAACCATAAAAACTTACAATACTTGGAAAACACAACTTATACATAATCAATCACCTATCATTTTTATAAAAACCAATACGTACTTAGTTGGGTGGCCATGGATATTTAATACTGTCATATAAATATAGGCCTACTCATATAAATTGAGTGTAAATATTATTAGCTATCACAAGTATGCTGTACCTTGTTATAACTTACTAGGATAAGACAAACTAGAAAACGTGTGATAATCATCTTATATTTATTACATAAACCATTATGTCAGTAATATAAATTTCCAATCCAACCTCCTAATTATGGTAATGTAAATGCTGCCTATAGTTGCGGTGCATATGTAATTTCGTGGTATTTTGAATGAAGCAATTTATGATTGGTGGTGATAGATAGGTAGAATATGTAGAATCGTGTACTTTTTTTCCTAAGACACTAGGCACGAGCCCGGGATTGTTTTTCACATTACTTCAGGCTAGACCTAGGGGTTGTGGCATTATCACTTAGATGAAATCCATTGGTGATTTTGCGGGCTTTGAACCCAGGACCTCAGGAACCGAAGTATCACGCTCTAACCACTACACAAGCTCGCACCCCCAGCGGTTCCGAGTCTAAAAATTGGCTTCACTAAGATTTTAACTTTTTTTTAAATAATAAGAAATTGCTGTATTGTGTTTAAAACATGGTTTGTTAAGAAAAAGTCAAAATAATTGTTTGGAAAGCCAATTTTTAGACTTTGAACCTTTTTATGCATCATGACAGTTCATTTACTTTGTAATTACACCAAAAAATTGTTGTAACACTGATGACCAGCCCTGTATGTCTTTAACTAATTAGATCACTGAATACTTTAAGGCTACAACAAACTGCAAGCGTTAATAAGAACTAGAGATATAAGAAAAATAATCTAAAAAAATTTTCAAAGTATGAAACGTTCATAAGAAATGTATGGGGGAGAGTTTTCATTTGAATAATATATCTTCCAAACGGAAAAAAGACATTTAAAAATCTAGTTTGTACATCATTAAAAAATTTAATTATTATTTTCCAATATAGGATCCAAGATGGCGACTGAAAACACCAGCTAGGCCACATTTTCAGACAAAACACCCGGTAGTACACAATTCTACATGTGATTACCTATCTATTGCCACCAATCATACAATTGCTTCATTCAAAATCCCACAAACCTTCCTGTATTTACAAATATTCCTACACTACTAGAAGAAGAGATTACTAAATCAAGTTTGACTAGGTGTCACTTACCATCCATTGATACTGCAACAGATCCCAAAACAATCATGTCAACATGGATTTTTTCATCTTGATCAACAACTTTACCATATTGGTTTATACCACGCATTTTGCAAGCTGTTCTTAGTACCTGTAGAAAAATCCCATGAATAATTTTGAGTGTAAAAAATGTGTTATGAATTACTGTTCTTAGTAATCAGCTGAAGTATTTATTTACTTTTTGTTTGTATTAGAAATTTCAATTTGTTTACCTTTCCAGCTATGTAAGAATTTAAGTTTATTAAAGCCTTATTTTCTTAAAAGGTTCAGTTATTCACAACAAATTTAATAAACTTAAATTTATTAAGATAATACAAATAAAAATGGAAAGGCTTTTAAAACCAGACAGGTTTGATATAAATCCTGAAAATCCATCTGCAAGTAGAGCATTCAAACACTGGTTCAGGACACTTAAAAACTTCATATCTGACTCAGAAAATACTGAAGAGAGGAGACTTAACGTGTTGATTTATTTTCTTGCTTCTTGCTACAAGTACATTTCTGAATGTTCCACGTTTAAGTCAGCAGTTTAAATCTTGCAAACTATTTATAATCCTTAGAAGAATTAAATTTATGCTCGACACATGCTAGCAAACCACAAGCAGAAGAAAGAAGAAATCATAGACAAGTATCTACAAGAGCTTAAACTTCTAAGTAAGGATTGCAATTTTCGTACCATAGATAGAAATAATTTTCGAGATTAAGCCGTTAGAGATGCCTTCAGGTTCAGTAGACCCCCTCTTAACCGACCCTAATGGGACCGGACCTAGGTCGGATAACTCAAAAGGTCGGTAAAAACGGGCAATCCTTAAAATCATAACACAATGAAGTGCTATTCATTTGGAATTATATAATCATTATTTTGAAGTCATACTTGATAAAATAAACTTAAAATCCATGTGTGTAGCCCTGAGCTGTTGGACATAATGTAATACTAAATTACTTACGTAATTCCCGTCACAGCTCAATAAAATATGTCAATTCAGGACATGTTTCGGTGTTAAAACACCATCGTCAGCTTCAGGTACATATGTAGCTGTCCCTTGCTAACCTGTGCGGTCGGTCATCTTTGGTTAGAACAGGCCTGTTTCTTAAATGTTTAATTGTTTTATGTATTTGTTTGTGTTCGTTCTGTGTTTATCTTCTGACGATGTTAACAACTGATCAACTCTACATATGTACCTGAAGCTGACGATGGTGAACACCAAAACATGTCCTGAATTGACATATTTTATTGAGCTGTGACGGGAATTACGTTAGTAATTTAGTCTTACATTAAAATAAACTACTCTTATCTCCTTTTTCGTATTGATAGGAAAGTCACAAATAAACACAAAAAACGGTTAATTCAAATATGCCTACTTTCAGTGGAATTATATATTATAGTACTAGGCAAGAGGCAATAAAAATTCCTATTTTAATAAATTTAGTACTGTAATTTATTAATTGATGCTTTCCAAATCCATCGTAATACAGTACAGAGCCCTTTGTACAAATTAAAGATACAAGCAGCCATTTTGTTACAAGACAGGATGTTTATTTATAGCCTCTCACTGGAGGCTCGAGGCACAAAAACTATCTTGACCTTGGAGTTGTTAACCCCCTTCCCTGCCCTCCCCACAAGTTGCTTTATTTGTTTACTCCAGCGATAAGATAATCAGTTCTCAAAATCGCAATTTACGATGTTATAAATTTGCCGCACAGATAACAAATCAGATCAGATATGCTCGCACGAACTATGATGACAAACTGACAATATGCTATATTTTTTGTGATCAATACTAAATAGCTTATTCTTAGTCATATCCTGTGGAGATAAGCGTATGGTTCGGTTCTCATTGCCCAGCTTGGGAGCGGAAATGTCGAGATTCCTAGAAAGCGGTGGTTAAACCGAACTGCTCTCAAAGCATGGTCAGTTAAAACACAGTGTATTATTTTACGATCAAAGGCGGATAATACGATTATCTGTTAATACGAGGTCGATTAAGGGGGGTCTACTGTATCTATGGCTTCCACAAACCTAAAGTCACCTATCAAAGGTTATGTTTCTGTGAACTTAAGAGTTCTCTGACCATAACTATGAGCACAGAAAACATATTACTATAACCCAGAATGCCAACCGCATGGTAAAAAGCATCAAGTGTTTTGTCATTGCACTCAAGTTTTGAATAATAAAATTAAAGTCTACTTTTCAATTTGTTTGTTAAAATATTGTAATTGCAGGAAGAACAAAAAACCCAATATTCTGTTCAATTGATAAAAAGTACAGTGCAATAAATCAAATTGTTATATATTTTCGGAGTTTCAACAACCTTGGTATTTCATTTTTAGCAATACAAATTCGTTCAAAAGAGTTTTGGTAATTATAGTAAATAAGAAGCCACTACAACAGATTCACATTGCGGTGCAACACTAAAATTAGTGTGGTAGTGCGCAAAGTAGAGTCTGTGTACATATATAAGATTGTTTTCAGCTCTGGAAGAACTTTAAACAGTACCAGGGACGTCCCCTAAGGATCTCTGGGAATGATTTTATTCTACAGGGCCCACTCAATTTTTATTTAACACCAAGCTTCCACTGCCAACGCTCTGTTGTTTATTTTTATTCAGTTTGTTCTTCCAACCCAGGGGCAACCAAAATTTGTTAAGAAATAATTGTTATAGGACCATTTGAGAATATTGCAGAGAGATTAGTAGTATATATTTAAATATATAAACCAGAGTATTTTCTTTTTTTTCTTTACACAAAATAAATTATATAGCAACCGTTGGTTGGTTGGTATATGGTAAGATTTAAGAGCTTGCTCGGTCTATTTAACTTCGTGTCCCGAGGCAAGGAGTACAATAAATTCTCAAATAAAATCCAGAGACTTACATGTCTATTGACATCTTCAGGAAGACAGACTTTCATAAGCACACCATTTGCAAGTCTAGGAATCGGAACCAAAAGAGTCTTATTTTCCTGAAAAAAAAATAATAATGGAACATGTATTGTTAAAGAAATGTTAGATCATTAGCGAAGCCAGGGATATGTAAAGGGGGGGGGGGGGTTCACATAGCAGACCGGGGGGGTTGGGGATGTCTGGGAGCAACCCACGTAATATTTAGGACATAAAAAATGAGTTATTTTTATGGACCATTTTAAAAAGTAAGTGTAAAATGTTATCTAAAATTGTGAGTATTTGATGGGTAAAAGTATACTCTGTAAAATAGTGCATTTGATTTATTCATCAAATGGACCATACAGTATTTTAAAATTGAATAAAATTGTCTATTGATTGCAAATTTACAGGAAAAGGTGTAGTAAGAAGGACCAGTTCCTAATGTTTCAGTTCTGCATTTACACAGTTGTGCACTTGTACATCAATTTTGTATTAATTGTCATTTATCCACATTGTTGTATCAGGTTACGAAATCAGCATTGCAGCAGAAGATGATTAGTATGTTACTAGTTACTGTAGCCCCAATAATTCTAGAGTTAACCCTTTCCACTCGTACATTCTCGTCCAACCATTCCACTAGTATGTCGCGGCCGCCGTGACATTTTCTGCATCGGCTTTTTATAAATCCCTTTTATATAGTGTTTGCATGTTTTGAACTTGTGTTGAATACACGGGTGCCCATTCCTTGCACCAAATTCCTTGTTTGATTTTTTCATTCTCAAAATTAACTTGACACATAGCCTACTAAACAGCTACCGCTACCGGTAATTAAACTGTCACAGTATGACAATTTCTTCCAAAGAATCAAATGACCCAGGCATAATTATTTAGGAGAGCCAATATACGCTTGAGGAACATCACAAGCTTATATGTTGATGTTCATGTTGTAAAAATTGTAAAATAATTATCATAATACTAGTTTCTATGAATCAAGTATATATCATAATTAACAAACCTAAACAACCTACAATATTATAGGTCTTAATAGGCAATGAGATTATTTGAGAATTATTTCATAATGAACGGTAGAAAAAAAAAACTCAAACTGCAGATACAATCTATCTATCTATATATTAATAGGCAAGCATGTTTCTTTAAAACCTTTTTTCTCAGCTCGTGTGCATCGTAGGGAAAATCTACGCATACCGTTAGAAAGCTATTTTCCTGTAGGTGTGCAGAATCCCTTTATAAATTTAAATAGGCTCAAAGATAAGCGCAAAAAATTAGTTTAAAAATTTGGAAAAATTTACATGGATCTTATGCGTTGCCATGCTGGTGACGAAATAACAACGAAATATAAACAGAAAATCAAAACAAATGGAAGAAACTACAATCACATGTTTTATTTACAGTGTGGGGTGAAACATTAACATAAGTGAGTACATTACATATTTTTGGTCGAGTTTCGACCACTGGACATTACTCGTTTTAATTTAATAAGCAAACCATAATCCTTTGACAGCAGTTGGCAGGGAGTTGTTCTCATTGTCAAACATGATATGAGTCAGAAAGTGGAAATCCAACTAAACGTATTTATATATTTTATAGCCATTATAAAATGATTTATTTTTATCCAGACTCCTCGGGACCGAGGCCAGTCCGGATAATGGTTTTCCGGTTAAACCGACGTCCCCAACAACTCGTTAAAACAGACTGTTTACTGTGATATTCGACTTAAATTTAGGAGATCATTGTATTTAGACACGTGATCACTGGTCTCAAATCTTTCCCACGAGAACAGTCATTTCAGTACTGCCCACTTCCTGCCAATCTAGTCCGGTTTTAAACCAATGTGCTGATAAAAATTGTCCGGTTAAAAGGTGTCCGGATAAGAGGGGGTCTACTGTACTAATGTTATAATTCTGAAAGTTTGTGCGTTTGTGTGTGTGTTGCTCAATCACGCATAAACTACTGGACGGATTGGGCTGAAATTTGGCATGATGATAGCTCAACCGATTAACATTTAGGCATATTCAAACCCCAGTGGCTCTGTAGTTCCCCATGTTAACCTTATGAGTATTCATATTTAAAGGGAATTAAAGAATTTAGTCAGCTGTTTCAACTAAAAAAAATGGTTCTATTATATGCAAAAGCATTGAAAGTTGTAAGATTTACCAACAGGGTGCAGCACTATAATTTTTCTGCATTTATGAAAAACAGCTAATTTGATCCATTGCCTATTTTAACTAAGCAGCAACAAAAAACTGTGATATGCAATGAGAACTGTTAAAGTTGGACTCTTTACAGTTATGTTTATGTTTTTAATTTCATGAATAATTTGTGATATTTTGCTAACTACTAATACATTTTTTTTTTTTGTTTATAAAGTGGTAGAACATTATGGCTATGGTATATGTGTAATACTAAAGTATACCATAATTTTAAAGCAGCAAATTTTATCAAAATGTGTCCTCCTCCATTGCAAATGCAAACTACAACTGCAATAAGCATTTTATACTTATATGCCAACCTCGTACGAAGGACGGTACTCTGCTAGTTACTTATTTAATACGCAAGCAGGTTTTTTGTGACAATTACTCCTCCGAACTACTGAACCGATTGACACGTTTTTGGTGTCATTGGAAAGAGCGTAGCGTGAAGTTGTGCAGGAAACTCTCTTTTTAGGGAAATAATTAGAGATTGAGGTCCTGGGGCACTTTAAATTTTTGTATTTCTCCATAAGATTAACATGGGAAACAAACATTGTTATGAAACTCCAGCTTTTGTCAGAAATTAAAAGTGAGAAGAAGAACATATGTTAATGTAAACATTCAATAAGTTTGCTAATTTAAGGTGTTGGGGAAGCTAATTTTAAAATGTAGCTAGCTACAACTACTGCTACATTTCCAAAAAAGTAGTTTGCTACAACTACAGCTACAATGAAATGTAGCTAAAGCTATAATTTTAACTACTTTTCCAAATACTTTACTTAAATACTTTTCAATGAAATGGCGACCATACAAAGTAGGTATACGTTATTCCACACACATTAGGTAAATTGAAAATTAGTTGCAACTACATTTTTATTGAACAAACATTCAAACAACAAAATCTCATTATTGTATCCAACATTACTTCTGAAAACAACTTATTCCTAGATTGTATTTAATTTGTTGTCATCATAAACCTAACATTACAACAACACAACCAAAATATTTGGGTGTTCCATCATATTTAGTACTTATTTTTAGGCCTAAGTATCTTATATAAATTTCATTAAGTTCAAATGGCATACAACCAAACTATATTTTATAAAAGTTCATTTTATTTATTTTATGTAAATTCATTTAAAGATGTCTTATATAAACTTTTTTTGTCCTAAAAAGACGCTAGACTTGAGTTTGGAATTGTTTTTCACATTACTTTATGCTAGACCTAGGGGTTGCGGCCTTAACACAACCGCCATTGAAGTGCCGTCAATGAGTGGAAACCTTGTTAGTAAGCTATAGGTTACGATAATTTAATAAATGTAAATTTCCTAGCCATATACAACACTGATTCAAGGTCTTTTTCCCGGTTATCAAAACTTCAGTTTTATACACAACAAATCTCTAATTTCATTTACTGTTACAATACACATTATTGAACTTGCGATTAATAAAATCCTTTATCTAAGAAAAATTGTTTTTAAAATCACTTGGTTTGGATTTTGCTTTCAAAACGTGATCGGAAATGTTTGTGGTATTTGTAAACAACATTTAATGTAAACATATCAGTGACAGCTAGAAAAATAATCTTGGTACGAACAGCTGTTCGTTATTTCATAGATGATTATGTGATGGGACATTTGGAGAAAACTTGACAAAAATCGCACGAAATTGTGGTTATAAAAGTCCGTCATTTTATTTACAAAGTAGTGAGGCCATATTTTAATGGCTAAAGACACACTCGCCAATCCAGTGAATACAATAAAATGATTTGGATCTTAATAGGTACTCTCGTTTTTCAGGAGAAGGCCGCGTAAAATGCCTCTTGGGCCGTAACAGACAGAAATAGAGATGAGACTTGTTTCGGCTTCTTTAATGTATAAAACATAAAAATAACCTAAAAATTTATAATTTTGAACAATGTACAGACAAAACTCTAATTTTATTTATATATAGATGGGTCGTTGGAAAGCTTAATTCGTGTAGATTTGCAAATAATTATGAAAGTTTGTTTTTGTCATGATTTATGGTGAAAAAAAAGGTTTTCCATAAGAAATACATTGAAAACAGTGTTTTTCACACTTTTTATTTGTGTACGACTTTTGGCTGCCCTTTTTTAGTATTTCCAAGAAGTGCATGGTATCAATTTGTAGGAAATTTTATTCTCTTAAGAATATCACCTTCCACTTTGGTCAATTTCCTCACCATTTAAAAGTTATTTGTAAAAAGCTAAGCAGCTTCCAAAATTATAGTAATGAGAAAATACCGTACCATCGAAGTATATAACACAACTGGAATGCTAGGTACATGTTCACGAAAGTGCGCCGTTGTGTCAGCCTTCCCCCACCATCATGTGGGACCCGGCGGATTTTAGCCAATTCATAGAATAGTGCGCGAAGTTGTTAACTCGCTCCTAGCCTTCAATATTAAAGATTAAGTACAATAATGTTTATATATTCGTAATCTGCATTAAATACAGAATGTAATGTTATAAATAAATTTTACTTTTGATTTGAAATAGAATTTCCATAGTTAAAGAGAGTCAACGATTTCTTCATTGTGACATGAAAAAAGTTAGTATGCAAGGAAGTATGTTATTTTTGGGCCAGAAGCAAACTTTAAGCGACAAAGTTGTAGTTGAAGAGATGATTTTTAACATGTGATCAAGAAATTTACTCTTAAGTGTTTAGTTTTTTTTAATGATTAACTAGATAACCTGTTGCTCGAAATCGAGCAAAACTGCAACTTGTAATAAAAAAAAATAAACAACAAAAACATAAAAAGCAAGACCTCAATCAAAGAGCAATTCTAAAGTCTATGACTGATTATAGAAATACGAAAAATATTATGTTGTAACAAATTATAAAACTAAC